TGGAAGATCAATTCTATCCTGGAAAAACACCTCATTCCCATAAAAGAGAAGATGGATTGGAAAAAAATTTTAATAAAAACAAAAATTAAAAAATTTTGTGAAACAAACTGAAACATTCTCTTTCAGAGAAATGTTTGGCTGAGGAAGTATTTAAACATCACTGCAATTCTGAAGAATCTACTACATTTATGGATAACTATGCTAGGTTAGCAAATTGGACAAAAAGGAGATTTCAGCAAGAAGAGCTCACAGCTATTCATTCAAATTTTGAAATATCATGTATTTAAGATGAGTTTTTGGTAAAAGATATTAAAATGAAAGATGACAGAATAATAATTCTATCAACTACAAAACAAAGAGCTATTATCCAAGGGAAAGATATGGTTTTTAAATGGCTCATTTTAATATGTCAGAGACGCATTTCACCAATTGTTCACAGTTCATAGGTTCATCAAAAAACATAGAGAGATGAAACAAGTTCCACTACTGTTTGCATTCATGGGATCCAAGAATAAGACAGCTTAAAAGAAATTATTTCAGGTAAAAAAATGAAAGAATGGCGATGATAATAAATTTTGACAATCAACAAGTGTGACAACTTGACAGCCTACATTTGTGCATAAACCCATAAACCACTAATGGGGGAAATTGGAAAGACAGATACCTAAAATGTCTTGAAAATTATTTTACACCTCGTAGTGAATATTTACTGTTTTCTAAATTGATTTTACTAATTTTGATTGGAAATGAATAACTTTAATTACATTTTTTGTCTTTTTTTACACTTTTTTTGAGGACAATGCCAGAGATATTTTTGGAATCATTTTGTTAAATTACTGAATAGTATTCCAATAAAAAGCAGTGTCCATAAAACCACAACATAGTTTATATGAAAAATGTGTATTTCAAGTCTGGAAACTCTAGTTTTGAGATTGATACAAAGTAGGCTTGGTAATATGAGCAAAATCTTCAAAAGACAGTACAGTGATCCTTTACCAAGAAGAATAAGTAATATAATCTTTCAATATTGTTGTTCGACATCTTCAAATCCCTTTTTGGAAAATGAATTAGAATTTTTTACAGCTAACTGTTTACAGTTGTCTGAAATTTCACTCTACCCCAGTAAATTTCCAGGGAGAAGAACTTTAAATTTTCTACATAATCACCCAATAAAGACTTTATTGATGTGTGATATTAATTTAAAACAAAATCTATATGTTGATACAATGATTACACATCTTGAAATCATAGACTGTATATTTGATATAAATTGTTATTTTGAATTAGGAAATTCACTAGCACAGTGTCAATATTTAAAATCATTCAAATTGAAATTCAAACAAATGGATATCTACAAACACCAGATAGGACGAGATTTTGGACAAACTAAAAAAAAGAAATTACTAAATAAAAATTTTCCTTCATTGATAAAAGACAATGATTGTAAGAAAGGATTTGAAAGTATTTGTAGTGGATTAAAGTCTTCATCTAATTCTTTATCAATAATTGGCTTCCCACAATGCATTTGTTTTTCTGAGCAAAGTTTATGGCTAAGTGAGTTATTATTCGAATGCACACAGCTGGCAGAGGTCAATTTGGAACATAATACAGATATTCGAGAAGACTTTGAGCAAGTTTGCATTGGCTTACAATCATCGTGTTCCACTTTATCAAAAATAAACTTTTCACACTGCAATCTCTTTGAGAAAGAAGCTTTACATTTAGGTAATTTATTAACAAAATGTACAAAACTACAAGAGATCAATTTGAAAGGAAATGAAAACATTCAGAAAGGATTTAAAGAGATTATTGATGGATTAAAACTTTCAGCTTCTTCCCTAATAAAAGTAGACTTTTCTTCTTGTAATCTAAATAATAATGAAACAATTTATTTATGTGATTTTTTTAAACAATGTACTTTACTGCAATAGTTGGAATTTTGTTACTGCTTGTTAATTAGTCCTATTCTGCAGTTTTACCTGCTCTTACTCTTCTTTCATTAATGTTTGAAATTTATTGTTAGAAATTGTTGGAATATTAGGATAATTAAATGGTATTAGAAACCAAAGTCACACATGAAAAATTAATACTTTGACAACAGTCAACATTTATATATAATCTACAATATAATATTAATAATTTAAATAATCACAAAAAATTATCAAAAATTTCTAAATTTAAAAAAATTAAATACAAATAAATTGATTATATAAAATATTCTTTCAAACAACTTTCTACAACCTAAATTATAATAATATATCTACACATTTATTTATAATAATATTGGGGGTCAACTGTCTGAATCCCACAAATTGCTTGTAGTTCTCAATGAATTTTCATTGGCTTAATTGTATATTATTTAGGTTTTGGCAGTTGTATGGACAAGTGATGAAACCAAGTTCGGATTGAGTAAAGATTTTAGACAGAATGATGTGTGTACGCCACCTATCGGGCAAAACACAGACAAAAAAGAAATTGAAGTTGAAAAAATGAGGGTAATAACTATTGACAGAGAATTATGGAAAATGCCTATCAATGCGACTCTTTAAAGGATAAGAATAAAAGTAGTAATCATACTTTCTGGCCACTTATACTCTGAAGGGTTTCTCATTTAAGGATTGGGCCTAGTGGAACTGGTTGGGCAGTCTATTAAATATATTTTATTTTTCTCTGCAATACAGTTTTTATCATAATTCCAAGCGAGTTCATGTCATTAGCCCTCAGAGAATCTTTCATAGGCTTTAATTCTTTTGGATAGAGGTAAAACACCCATTCTCCTACCTTTTTACCTTCCTAGAACAGTTGATAGCATTGAGCTTTGAGAATAATCGCCCCCTTAAATGATTCTTTACCTGCACAAATATATCTTCAATTCTAAACTTTCCATTAAAGGCAAATGAGATTTTATGAGCCAAATATATCGCCTTTACAATGTCCATAATACATTTAAAATATAAAAGTTTTCTAAAGAAGTAATTGTCAATTGTTAACTTAGTCCTATTTGGAGTAGATCCAAGAAACAAATAATACTGTCCTTGATCCTTAAAAAATGTTACACCTAGAGAATATTGGAAAATTGGGGTAAAAGATGAAAGATGATAAATTAGACATGCAAAAATTTACACTCTTCTCTGACTGTATTCATTGCAGAAACAACTTCTTCTAGCCTGTTTATTTTTGTATTGCACTCTTTGTAAAAAGAGCACAAAGGCCTCTTTTAATAGATTACAAAAGGGAAAATCTTACCTCCTTATTGCAATTTTCTTCTTTTCTCTCCTTCTCATTGAATAGAACTCAGACACAGAAAAGATTTAGCGTCGAATTAATTGGAATTAACGTTACAATCAATACAAAATATACAAAATTGGTAATTGAAATTTTTATGATTGTTGACAAAAGACCTACATTTTCGTAATTAATGTCAGCTAGGCCTAAAGAAATTAGAATTCTATCCGAGTATCAATATTGGAAGTCATGAGATAAAGTTGGTTGCAATGATTAAATAGATTGTGATTGAGATATCAATACTAACATTTTTTGAACCTTTTAAGCGTTTTTCATTCCTTTTTACTTTTAAACTAATTCTCAAGTAGAGAATTGAAATTGTTAAAATTATTATTAAATTTGGTAATGTAAATACAAGAAATGAATAATAAGATCTGTCTGTGCTGCAGTGGCACATGTTGGTCATGTGGTGTTCATCCCATCATTGTAATCTATATGTGTGATATAATAGTCTTTGATATTTTTGTTACTTGTGGATTATGAGACTGCTATATTTTGCCCTCCTAATTCTTTGGCAAATGTATAAAAGGAAATACATTTCCCCAGCTTGTTAGTTCAGTTCTTTAACCATTAGCTGGCTGTTTAAACTTACTTGTTTAGAACTAGATACTCATTTACTCAATATATAACCTTTGGACAAAATACTGTTGTTTTGTTGTTTAATTTCTATCAAAATTACATTTTTTGACACTGATTGTGGATGAACTTAAAAGGTTTTATTTGTTTGAGTACTTTGCTGAATTGATAAATGATTAAAGAGGACAAATACTGTTCTGAAGCAGAACTTCCAACAATTACAATACAACAAAGTACACATATCCATCACAAATGGAGTAAAGGTTCCAAAATAGGGTGACAGAAGTTATGCATTGCATGTCAAATAGTCTTCTATTAAGATTAGGTTAGTGTCTTTTTCTTGTTCCAATTGCATGTTGATGGTAGACAGATCAATTTTATTGTCACTTTCCATAATTATGGTTGTAAGAATGGAAAAGTATGAACATATCCCATACTTATCTCTTGTAGTTAACATTATAATTTTCCATTCTTACTGTTTGTCAGGCATCTCTTCATCAATTCTTCTTTGTATAAGATTTTCAAAAGTCACTTTCTTTGTTGGAATATACTCTTCTATCCTAGTAATCCTAGATTTATTGGTTTTCTTTGTAAAAGTGTATCTTTTGGGCTTTGATACCAAATGTTTATGTTTCGGAGTGGGTTGAAAGTAACTGGTTTTTTGTCCAATTCAAACTCTTGTGATCTTACTAGTCCAGCAGGTTTTAGCTTTGTTGTTTTCAGCATTTTTAGTATGTATTTGTTGTGAATATCCCAGATGTCTGGAGAAATAATTTCTTTGACCAACCAAGTCCTCACTAATGGTGTTGCATGATCTTTTATCAGCATATGGTAGGTTTTCTCACCATCTCTATACCAATCATTATATGTTAAAATATCTTGTATTTCTGTGACATTGGCCTTTCTTAGTGATGATTTAATTTCCAAACTATTAAACAGTTTCTTAGAAATTCAAAATCTATTGACACAATTAACCTAAAAAATATCAATGAAAACGAAAAATGTAAATATAAAGTAACTCTCCAAGAACTTGACATTTCAGAGAGAATATTAAAAGCAATTGATTTAAAAGTTTTTAAATTAAATAACAATGATACAGATATTATCAGTGGGGCTGACAGAAAACATCCCCAACAGAAAATGTCCCCACAGACAATTCAAATGAATGCTATATTGTTTAATGCCAGGTTTGAATACTAATTCTAGAAATAAAAAAATAATCAAAATAATGAATTATATCTAAATGATTTTCCAAATTTTCTAACCTAACCCTAACCTAACCCTGCCAGTACTGTCAACAAAACAGGAAGGAGGAATTTAAACAATCTAGAAAGGGGAAAACCCAAGCCAAAATAGATAGGAACTTGGAGCACTCTAACAATTGTGCCAATCCAGTTCATTTGTACAGCAATGACTATAATGGTATTAATCATAGCATAGATAGTAGAGATAGTTTGCTTTTAAACTATTCAGATTGGAATGTTCCTGATCCAGTCATTCAGACCTTGAATAAAGGTCTGAAATACATTAATATTGATTACAAATCCACCAGGAAACAGTGGATCACTAAGAATTGGAAAGAGGGATTAGCATCCTTCCTACATAGACTAGTGAAACACAAAGATGTGGGTCCCTTTACTTATAGGGTAAACCCCTTTGCTAAAGTGAGTCAAACTGACAAGACCGTTATAAAGGAAGATCCTCCAATAGATGGAGAAGATACCCCAGTATGGAATGATTTCAAGAATAACATATGGAATAAAGGTTGTGAAACCATAAATGGGTTGAGTGAAAGGTATGGCTACCTTCACCAAAATGGTCCTAGTTCAAGATTTCAAACATCTGTTGAAACAGTCTGCAACAAAGATGATATCATCATTAAACCTGCAGACAAAGGCAACAATATTGTTATCTTGAACAAAAGAGACTATTTAATAGAGGCCAACAGACAACTGTCTGATAACAACACCTACAAAAAGGTCTCCTTTCCCATTTCAAAATCCAGACATTCTGAAATCATCTCCATCCTCTCCAACCTCAACAAGGAGGACTTCCTTACAAATAGGATGATGAAAAAGCTTAGCCCAAAATTAGAAGCCACAGATAGGTATTTTTATCTTCTCCCAAAGATTCATAAGGAAAGGTGGACAATCCCTAATAGGATGCCACCAGGGAGACCAGTTGTTTGTTACAGAGGGAGTGATTTACACCCTCTCTCCTGTTGGTTAGATGCTTGGCTACAACCATTGGCTATGGTGTGTAGAGCATACACTAAAAATGCACAGGATATCTGCAGACACCTCTCCTCTATCCATATATACAATTATACAAACTGCAGATGTAGATGCCCTATACCCTAGCATTGATCCTGATTGGGGACTACAATGCATAGCCAAGCAACTGTACAACTGGCCAAAAGATAATAGACCAGATGAGGCTATCCTTAAACTTTTGCAGATCTGCCTAAAAAGCAATGACTTTGTATTTGAAGGTGAAAGATACTTGCAAATAAAAGGCACTGCAATGGGAGTTAGCTTTAGTCCAGCTTATGCAAATATAGTCCTAGGGGTTTGGGAGGAGGATGTATATACCATCTACAAAGAACACCTATTAGTGTATAGAAGGTACATTGATGATATACTCATTGTGTGGAGAAAGGAGAGTAGTGATACTGTAGGAGAGGATGACAGGTTGAGAGAGTTCTGGAACTATCTTAACAACAGAAATGAGGGTATTAGTCTAACCAGATCTGAGGCTGGTAACACAACCATCTTTCTAGATTTGGAGATTCAACTCAATCCTCTAGTGTTCAAAACTCATTTTAAACCTACAGACAGTAGAAGACTACTTAACCCCAAGTCTGCACATCCCAAACACACCATTAAAGGAATTTTATTTGCACAAGCTCTTAGGTATCTCAGAAATTGCTCAAAAATTGATACAGCAAAGGGACAACTCAATGATCTTAGGAATTTAAACAAAGATCTGGGCTATACCAAATCAATGTTCAAAGAGGCATGGCTAAAAGCCACTAAGAGGATTGAAATTGAGAGGCAAGAATTTGAAGGTATGAAACCATGCAATGGTAGGAGATGCCTAGTGTGTCTGAAGGTTAGGAAAACTAACACATGGCAATCAACTGGCAGCAACCAATGGTTCAGAGTCAAGGGAGACTTTGACTGTACCTCTAGTTGGATAATTTACATTATCCAATGTACCCTATGTGAAATACAGTATGTGGGTCTTACCACTAGAACTCTAAGAGATAGGATCAACAACCATAAAGGGGATGTGAGGAATGGATCCAATAAATTGGTCTCTGATCATTTTCGAAAACATGGAATAGATCAGATGACTTACTGGGTCTGTGATTCCATTCCTGAGGAAGATCCTAACAGAGAGAAGACCCTACAGACTTTGGAAGCAAGGTACATCAAAGAGGCTAATACAGTTACTCCGTATGGCTTAAATGAGGATCATGGTTGCTACAGTACTACTATAGTACCACTGGTTGTCTACCATCCAAGTCCTTGGTATAAACTAAATAGAATACTTAAGGACCACTGGAGTGCTCTTAATGATGACAGTCCATTGAAAGCGATTAGGCCTATTATTGCCTTGAAACTGGGGAGATCATTGGGTAGCCTTATAGTAAAGGGAAGAACTGAAGGTCCACCTCAAGAGGATAATACCAACACTCTGAATCTATTAGAATGTTGGCCATCCCCATGGTGGCATATTAAAACAGTCTTCAATAGACCACAAAACAAATTCTCTATTGTGAATAACATAGAGAGCCTGGACAACAGCAATAACACAATTCTCACCATGGCCAATAGCTGGGTGGGGGATGATCAGGATAGTAGTTTTGCAGGTATTAATCTCCTATTGGAGATACAGAGAGAAATTGACAGTGAATGAAAATTAATAGGGCTAATTATTGGCTGAGTAGGGATTGAACACCTCTTTAATGGGGAATGGGTTGTGGTAGTTGGCAGTGAACAAACAGTTCCCCAACAAAAACACCACATCTGGTTCTTATATCCTAACCCTAAGCTATAGCCCCCTAAAAAGATACAAATTAGTGAAACTTTACAACTAACCCTAACCTAAGATAATGGAACCAACACTTAACTCAGCAGAGAAGAAGGTACAGACTGGACAGACATGGGACCTGTTCTGAACAATTGTTAAATAATAAAGAATGGGGTAATTTGTGGGGAGACACCTCTCTATGAGAGAACAGATGGTTGACAGTTGGCAGTGAACAAAAGTTCCCCAACAAAAGGTCCCTTCTGGTTTCCCAATCAACACAAAGACAACCCATTGACAATCATACATGAGCAGTCTAATGTAACCATAACCTCTACCTTCAACCATCTCTCAGTGTATTCCTTACATACAGGAACAAGTGTGTCTGATATATATAAGGGGTTGAAAGTTTAACATGGGTCTACAGACCTTATGCTACATAGTACCCTAAGGATATATATATCAAAGAGTTAGTTTTGATCCAAAAAAATCAGTGATGTGACAAAAATGTCCCAAATCTGGGCCGTTTAGGAGTTTCGTTATGCGTCATCCTAGACGTTTCAATTTTGTTGGAGGTGATAGAGCTCGAAAAGAGCTTTTCACTGATATGCTACACGACCATGTAGCTCTTACGGTTCAGGAGTGGCTGAGCTTCAAAAATCGAAAATTTTCCGAGTTCGGGTAGAAAAATAAAAATATTGTACAACTTTGGTTATATTTTACATGCTTGAACTCTATTATTTTATGCAACATATACATGTACATCTTAAAACCTACGCAAGAAAATGCTATAACATTGGCCAAACATAAGTCTGATTAGTCAGCTTGAAGGCTCATCTTTAATTACCAATAAAGGTTTGGCCAGGTTATAATTTAATTAACTTGCCTAGGGTGTGGCCAAGTTATAATTCAATTAACCTTCCTAAATGTTGAACCTTGTAACATCCTGTTACTAAAGATAAATATGAACTACACATTTCGGCAACTGTAAAGTGATGATTGGATGTCAGAGACAAACCTCAAAGTATATAAATTCTCATTATTCTCATTTGGCATGCAGCTTCCATCTGGACCCAAGGACCTGGGAAAATCATCTGGAAACAACCTCCACTGGAACCATCCATCTACTCCTCAACATTAGAAGACAGTTTGGTAATTTGGCAACCTGCTTTTACAAACTATCTACTCTGCTATCGAACTCTCATATTGTTACTTGCTTAAGTATTATTATTGCGAATAAACCATTTTAATTTAAACATTTGTTTAAAGGTTCGAGTAGAACCAGTATTGTTATAACTTGCAAACGCATAGATTTTGCCAGCAAGAGCAGTACAATATTTTTTTCTATCTTTCCGACGTAGGGGCAAGCTTGGATTAAAGTTTGAAAGCAATCCGACGATTTTGAAAAATTGGCCTTCACTGAGGCTCTGGATTTGTAAAGATTTCGCGAAAATCATTAATTTTCTAAGTTCATTGTCATGTTAATTACCTGTAAAAACGTTACATTCGCCTGGGTACTTGGAAAGATTTTGGAAAAAATATTTTCCAAAAATATTTTGACTGAAAAAAGTCGATAAATTTTTCAAAAATATTCTAAGTCCAAATTGGAGGTGAAATCACCCCTTATCTTAGATTCAGTTATATTTCATGGTGCGGTAATGAATAGGGCTCTGGACCGCCCCATGCAAATAGGATTGGCCATATATGTACAGAGGAAGGAACATAGAATTGAATCTAGGTCTTCTTCTGTTACATTTTATGAAAAGTGACTTACCTGATTGTTATACCTGCGATTTTTGAAAGGTTACCCTCTAATTACTATAGAACGTAGGGTCGAGATACTGGTAATAGAGTCTAAGGCTGCCAGTCAGCCATCCTCACCTACCACCGTTAACTTCAAAGCTCCATAGCTCCGCAACCGCTGGGCCGATTTCGTTCAAATTTTGCACAGTTGCTCAGTTCAATTAGATCTAGCACTGTGTAAAATTTCATAACGATCGGAGCAAGTTGAAATTTCAACTTTCGTCAGTGGTCGACTTGCTTTACTGACCACCAAATAGGTGATTTGTAGCGAGATAAAGGGTGGGATCAAACCAGTACCTATCCTAAGGTATAGTAAGCCTCTCAGAGATCAGTCTGGTGGCAATCTAACCAGCCACTTTTCCCCTCTCACTTGATAAAGGAGGAATACCTCCGAAATATTGTGAGTTTTAATCTGGTGACATTTTGTTAGTTGCTAAATACAGGTTCTCTTCACCCTTGTGGAGAATTTGTACGTGGTTTTGTTGGAGATACAGTTACAGCTTAGGCTGGGGAATTGCTACTCAAGATAGCAACTCCTCAACAGCTACACCAACCCTTAGCCAAAGCTTGGTTATAAGTGTGTGTGCACTTTTGGGATTACCAGTCTGTACTGATTGTGCTAATCCCTAACCCCAAGACCTAACCCTAACCCTAACCCTGCAAAATTATACTTGTTTTATTTATTTTCATGGTATTATTATAAAGAAATAAAATAAGGATTAGCATTTAATTTATGAATGTGATAGAAAACGTCTGGTTTTACCCTAACCCTAACATTAACCCTGCACTTGGCTATACCTAGCCTTTTCTGTCTGTGGGCTTTTTCTGTCAACCCCACATGGAACTAGTCCAAGCACAACACCACCAATAGATAAAAGTCAATAAATATTACAAGAAACAAGTAATGTTCCTGCCTTATTCATATTTAAATAGAATAAGAACTATTATGTAGTTGTTGATTAACAACTGTCCACCCTAAATTAATTAATCTACGATTTGTAATAGTTACATTGACTTGACCCACTAGATACTGGATCAATTCTATAGAGTTATGCTGATCACTGTCGCCTATAGCCTTAAATAGATATATAGTAAACAACAAGAAAAAATGGACACTGTAAATTTTGATTGTGTTCATGGAAAACAACCGCAAACCAGGTTTTTTAATGTTAGATTTTGGGTTGAGTACAATTAGACATAATGACATACTGATATTTAGACTTTAGATATATAATTGAACTTTGGAATAACTTCTATTTCGTGGCAATTATAATGGTCCAACTTTATAAAAGCTTTTATTTTGTATAGTAAGACTTTAGAACTTTAGAAAGAAGTCTATTTTCACCCATATTAGATGGAGCCACTATGCAATAAATAAAGGAAACAAAGAACATAGAAAAGATGCATGCCAAAGTTGTTACATTTTATGCAATAGCAGGTGCTGATGAGGTAGGCCTGTGCTATAGTGATATACTGGTGTTTTGTTATTTATTTTTACATTTGTTAAGACTGATTGTGGACAAACTTAAAGGGTTCTATTAGGACTAGTACTTTTGTCAGTTCATCAATCATTCAAAACGACAAATATTGTTCTCAAGAAGCAGAAATTCCTGCAATTACAATGCAACAAAGTACATTTGTAATATTTTCCTATTTTATGAAAAAATTCTGAACCAAACACGACAGAAGCAAAAAAAAACATTTATAGGCCTTTTATAAATAAAAAAGACAACTTTTTTCTATACTTTATCTTAATTAATTCAACTTTTGATATTCACCCACAAATTTATGTTGAAAAGTCAAGTTTGTTTTTTTATTGTGATTTTTTCAATCAAATTTTGAATGTTTCCTCTTGTAGCTTGTGATAAAATGGTTGGTAGAAAGCAAAAATGAATTCAAACAGTACAAAAGGAGATTTGACAACAATCAGAGTAACTCAAATCAAAATGAACATACATTTAAACCTTTTTCTCAAAATAGATTTCAACAACAAAGAAATGGAAATGCAGGAAATAATGAAAAAGGCAGCTTTAACAGACTAATACACGTTGGACCTGATGAACCTAATGAAACTGAAATTTCTAAAGGAAGAATGGCAATATTTAATCTCAAAGAAGAGAAAATCACACATTTTATGTGTACTTCTTTGGTAAAAGGCAGAAAAGATTTCCAATTTCGAATGTAAAATCATAATGGAAGAGAGGTTATTGCTTTATGTGATTCAGGAGCACTTTTGTCATTTATTACAGAAAAAGAAATCAGGTTAATGGATTCTAAATTCATCAAGAAAGAAACTACTGGGTTACCAATCATCACTTCAGCAGAGGGAAATGCTTTAAAGACAAAAGGAAAAACAAAACTGAATATTCAATTTAATGGAAGAATTATGGAACAAGAATTCTTTATTATGGAAAAACTAGATATGGCTATAATACTTGGTTGTGATTTCTTAGAAAATGCTGGAGCTCTTATTGATTTTGCAACAAAACAAGTTTCTCTTCCATTCTTTATCAGAAAAGGACAACCAGTTAGAAAGTTTTTGCAATATAACGAAAATCACCAAACAAAATTTGGAAAACAAGGCAGTGTAAAAAAAGTAACTGTTGGAATGATGGGACAGTATTTTGAAGATTCTGACACTCAATCTGAAGTTTTTGATACTCCATCTGAAGTTTCAGATAGTGTGGACTCAGTAATGGAAGTTACTGATCCAGATACTGGCTATGATACAAGCAACACTCATGGTTTAAGCATAGTTTATGAGGGATTCAATGGTTTGGTTCAAATAGCAATTATGGCACAGATGAAAGTTCCAGTACTTCTGAAAATTATGATACAGAAACAAGTATTGAATCAGATCACAGCCCAGACTCAGATTTGGATATAATCAATGGTACAAGCTCATCTGAAGATGAAATTAGTGATTCAACTGATTCTGATAATGGTTCAATGATTGTTATAGACTCATCTGAGGAAGAGCTTGATAACATAACTGAGCCTGATAATGATTCAATGATTGTTATAGACTCATCTGAAGAAGAGACTAGTAACACAATTGAGTATGACAATGATTCCATAATGGTTAT